TATGAAAAAAAAAAAAAAAATGTATATATTCGTTGATTTAAATTAACATTTTTATTTGGAAACATTATTTATTTTAAATATTACACGTTGCAAATGCAAATGACGTTTTAATTATTCTATCCATTATTGCATACCCCTTCCTTCTCTTATGGGGGGCTACGATACATTTATTTATTTATTTATTTATTACGTAACTTTTTCGTACTTTCATTCATTTATCACGAATAATGTTTTCATAATAAAGACAATACTAATCTATTTATCTTTGTCTTTCTCTCAAACCGGTTACATATTTCACGTGTTCCGTTCTTTTGATTCTCAGATTTTCATTTAACGATCACATATCGTTCAAATGCATCTTATTCCAGACCTCGAGAAAGCTCTTTTACCGGTCATGACGATGCGTGATGCAATTACACAGTCTGCTTCATTCGAAAAGGAACGCTTGATCGAACGATTGTCACTTCAAGGAGCAGGGGGTAGGAGGAGGAGGGGAGGGGGTTGGGAAAAAAAACAAGAAACACGAATTCAATGCGAACAACAATTTTACGAATGTATGTTTTATATAAACAGGTAAGAATAATCATTAATATTCATTATGTTAGTTGTTTAACGAGTCATCATTATCATCATCTTCCAAATGTCATGTGGATAAACTTTAAAATTAAAAATTACGTAAGATTTGTGTAAACAATCTTATACATAAATAACATGTGATTTAATCTTCTTCTTTATATGAATACATATTACAAAAGTTAACTGTGTGGTTTGGAGATTTGTTTTTGTCTTCTTTGATTCTTGACTCTCTCGAGAGAAACATGAAAGTTAACTTGATAGAAGTTTATTACTTGCAAATATTATAATATGTGTGTGTGTGTGTTTGTGTTTCTCTTAGATGACCAATTGATCAAATAACAACGTGAGTTATTTAATTAAAAAAAATATGTGATTTAGTATAGAAATGATAATAGATAATAATTGAAACAACATCGATACTCATCGGTGAACTAATTTCACTCACGACCTGATTCCTCCATAAATATATTGAGTTATGTATATATATATAACTGTAAATTATATCGGTAATATATATAACTGTATTCCTTCAAGAGTATTTCGAATACTGAGCACCGCTGCTCAGTTTGCTACGTTAACGTAACGTTTTGATTATGATTTCGATGTTAAGGTCACGATGGTGAACTATAATGATCGCTTGGCACGATTTATACTCATCCATTATACGCATGGCAACTCTTGCAGGTTCTTCTTCGTTGAAACGGGAAAGCATAAAGTAAAGTTATCAATAACATTTCATTGATATTATATTCCATGACTTTAAAAAAAAAAAAAGATATATATATATATTATATAAAACATAGTTTTCGTATTAGAAAAATAATAGAAAGTTAAAAGTATGCGTTGGTATTAATAAGTTAAAACTTTGTTATTATTTTCTCTTTCTTTATTATTTTTTAGAAAAATATTTCTAATACGAATTGTGATTCCATTTTGTTTGTTTGTTTTTTTTTATTTAATATTGCAATATCCTTCGTTATCGTAATCTTCGCTATTAATAGAAAAGTCAGTGAAATATTTTTCTACGATGATCGATTATAAAGCAAACTACGGAGTTATATAATTTTTTAAATTGCATAATCGCGAGTTGTGCACTCTTCATGCTCGCACGATAAAATGAAGCATTGTATTTTAATTTTTATCTACACGTATTTACGTTCTATATGTTGCGAATCGTTAAATATTAAAGTACATAACTTTGGAGTAAATCATTATTACGTGAGAATAAATATATAAAAAGGTGAACCGATTTATTTATTTTTTCTTTTCTGTTCTTTTGCACAGCATCCACACAGTCCCCACATCTGTCGAGATAAATTATGTTTCATTATATTATTATTCCCCTGAAAATATAAGAATAACGTTTTTATCTCGTTTCTTCTTTGCTCATCTTATTTTTTGGATTATCATCTTGGTTTCAATTCACAATATGTCCATCTGGTTCAATTATTTCAATTCTTTTTTTTTTTTTTTTTGTTAATAACTTCTGCTTCAAATAGGAATTCAGTTTTACGGGATAATAAATTATACGCAGTTAATATTATTTATTTCTTAGGAAATAGAACAA